CCACACCCACCAACACCTTCCCACCCCACCATCCCCACCCACATCTACCCACCCCCTCTCATCCACCTAACCACCACTCCCTCCCACCCCCTCCACCCCCCAATAATTACCCCCCCACCCACGCCTATAGAGACCCACAGAGACCAATACTCACAGAGACGCATACGGATCCAAAAAGACCCATAGAGACACACATAGAACAAACGTATAATGAACGTTACCACGCGTCTGTCCTTCCCCCTCCTTGATCCCTACCCCCTCCACCCCCATGCCCCATCCCGCGATCCCTCCCCCCTCCCTGCATCTCTCAACAGATGGGATCCCAAGATCCGCATGACGCCCGAACAGGCGCTGCGTCACAGCTGGCTGCAGACCGCGGCCGCGACCACCACAACTAGCGCCACCACCACCACCACCAACACCACCAACACCACCAACACCACCGCCACCAGCACCACCACCACTAGGATCCCCAGCGCCACCACCAACACTGCCGCCACCACCGCCATCACCGCCAGCAGCGCCAACGCCACCACCACCACCGCCACCACCACCACTGCCAGCGCCACCACCGCCAGTGCCATCGCTGACAGCGCCACCACCGCCACCACCAAAAGGATCGCCACCACCACCACCAGCGCCACAACCACCAGTGCCACAATTATCAACACCGCTACCACCACCACCACCGCCACTCCTGGCTCTGGAGCTGCCGACCCACGGTAAGCCTCTCTCTCTGCTGTGTGGCATGGAGATGTTGACTATCTCGCCTGGCATGCAGGGGTCGTGGGTTCGATCCCAACTCTTGACAATGCATGCTGCTGTATATTTGGAATCCGTGTCTCTTGCTCTCTCTTTCCATGTTGGTTGCGTCGAATTTTGTCCACATTTAGAATCGACATCACGGTTTAGAGTATTTGGCTGTCACTATGAATATCCAGACGATGATGATGATGATATAAGCCACTTCGTTGGGCTGCTATCACTTTTGATAGGCGGGTCGCTTGTGAAGAATATCTACATAGCTCAGCGGGGCATTACCTGGTGAAATAAAAAGCTTAGTTTTAGTACGGGTCTCTGTGGGTTGCTGTGAGTCTCTGTGAGTCCCTTAGTTCTGTATGATTCTCTGGATCTCTATAGGTCTCTATTAGTATGGGTCTCTGGGAGTCGTTATCGGTCTCTATGAGTATGGGTCTCTGTGGGTCTGTATGGGTCTCTGCAAGTATGGGTCTCTGTGGGTCTGTATGGGTCTTTGTGAGTATGGATCTCTGTGGGTCTGTATGGGTCTCTGTGGGTCTGTATGGGTCTCAGTGGGTCTGTATGGGTCTCTGTGGGTCTGTATGGGTCTCTGTGGGTCTGGAGGGGTCTCTGCGAGTATGGGTCTCTGTGGGTCTGTATGCGTATCTGTGAGTATGAGTCTCTGGGGGTCTGTATGGGGCTCTGTGGATCTGAATGAGTATCTGAGTATGGGTCTGTACAAGTCTCTGCGAGTCTACTGAAACGTGCTTTTCGAGGATTTGGCTGCCGCTATGAATTCCCACCGGACGATGATGATATCAGCCATTTAACTGAGCTGATATCACCTGTGATAGGCAGGTAAATTCTCTGAAAAAGAGCGACATAGTTAAGTGGGGCCTTACCTGGTGAAATACAAAAAGTTTATTTTCAGTATGGGTCTCTCTGGGTTGCTGTGGGTCTGTATTGTTCCATATGAGTCTCTGGATCTCTATAGGTCTCTGTGAGTATGAGTATCCATGGGTATATATGGACTTCTGTGAGTACGGGTCTCTGTGGGTCTGTATGGATCTCTTTAAGTATGGGTTTCTATGGGTCTCAGAGTCTGTAGGAACATGCATTTAGAGGATTTGGCTGCTATGATGAATTCGCACGTGACAATGCTGATAATATCAGCCACTCGTTGAGCCGCTTTCACTTGTGATGGCCAGGTCGCTTCGCTGAAAGATAGCCACATAGCTCAGTGGGGCCTTACCTGGTAAAATAAACAAAAATTGTTTAGTTTTAGAGTCAGTCAGTCAGTTAGTCCACCCACGGGCAATGGCGGGTGGTGGGGGTGCGAATGGGACCTCTGGCTAAAACAATACAATTCTCACGACGTTTCGACTGCAACACAAGCAATCATCATCAGGTGTGAAAACCACAGCAAGAAAATTTGAAAACAGTGGCGGTTTTTTAACGTTAGCACCACGGAGAGCGATTTGACAGTTTGTTCAGATGGACGAGTCAATCTATGTTCAGAGAAGAGGAGGGGGGAGACGAAAATAATGGATGCGGTCTGAAAGCCACCTTAAGCGTGATCAATCAAGACCCGAAATAGTTTATCAAATCCTTCCAATGATTGCTAAGCCAGAATCCATCTTCTCGGTTGAAATTGTCTCTGTGTTTGTATATGTGGATAGCCTCATGAACGAATCTCTCATGGTAGCCAGATGGCTTGCAAAGAACCTCTGTCTTGGAGAAGTCAATGTCATGTGAGCCTACTGAATTCTAACAGGGATCTACCACGGCCGAGGTGTTGGTCCTACCGTGTTTCAGGTCTGCTTTGTGTTCACGAATGCGGTCCGAGACATGTCGTTTGGTTTCTCCAATGTAACTACTACCACAGAGGCAACTTAGTTTGTAGACGCCAGGGTACTGTATGTCCGGAATCACATCTTTTTACAGACGGAACCAGATCACGGATTTTATGTAATGTGTTGAATCGGACCTGGATCTTGTGTTTATTCAAGATTTTGGAGATCTTTTTTGTGATCCCCGCAATGTAGGGTAAAGTGATGGTTTTGAAAGGCTCCTCAAGAGGGTCCTTCTTCATGGTTGGATTGACAGCTTTTGCAGTCACACCTAAACACATACCAGTTAATGATATCATTGCCCAAGTAGACGTGGCTCTCAAGGGCCTGGGTCACATCGCTGCAGACATAGCAATATCTGAAATCACTGCAACCCTCAAAAACGCTAAGATGCCAGCTAGCAACCTCAGTAAAGATGAGCGTTTTGAATTATATAAATTAAAAAAGAGGGATGACATTGTCATCCTCTCAGCCGACAAGGGCAATGCCACTGTCATCATGGATAAAATATAATATAAAATATATAATATAACAACAAAATTCAAGAATTACTCAACGATGGCAGCTATACAAAAAATACAAAGAGATCCCACCAACAGCCTCATCATAAAAACCAACAAAATCATTTCTGATTCAACCGCATTAATTGATCAAACCAAACAGTTCTTGTTGAAACCTTCTGCTGCCAGGCGACCAAGATCATACGGCTTACCAAAAATACATAAAGTAGATACACTACTTCGTCCCATCGTCTCTACTATCAACTCCCCCACCTACAAACTGGCTCGTTTTCTGTCTGAAATCCTGCGGCCTTTCACTGGAAAAAACCACCTCTGCGGTATCAACAATCAAGGGTATTTCCCTGTCCCCAGACGACCTGCTTGTCAGTTTGGATGTAGTTTCCTTATTCACCAAAGTTCCTGTACCTGACACCATCGCAATCATTGAAGACTTGGTTCATCAACGACTAAACACTGAGGTACCCCCCCTGGTGACACACTGCTTAACCAATACATACTTCACTTGGAATGGAACTTTCTACAAGCAAACTGAGGGCACCCCAATGGGCTCCCCCCTATCTCCGGTTGTAGCCAACATTTTCATGGAGAAATTTGAGACTGACGCCAACCAGACTGCCACTCTGCACCCAACCTTATGGAAGAGGTATGTGGATGACACTTTTGTCATCTGGCCACATGGCCGGCCTGCTCTAGAAAAATTCTTCGAAAGATACCCATACGGATGCTTACCTGAAACCGGATTCCCACCACCATCCATCCTAGAAGAATTCCCTCATCAAGACTCTGCACCATAGAGCCCAATGCATATCCGACCAGGAACACATAGCCAGTGAACTCAAGCACGTACACCAAGCTCTTAAGGCTAATGGTTATTCCGACTACACAATCCGTAAAGCTATCACTCCAACCATGAAGAAGGACCCTCTTGAGGAGCCTTTCAAAACCATAACTTTACCCTACATTGCAGGGATCACAAAAAAGATCTCCAAAATCTTGAATAAACACAAGATCCAGGTCCGATTCAACACATTACATAAAATCCGTGATCTGGTTCCGTCTGTAAAAAGATGTGATTCCGGACATACAGTACCCTGGGGTCTACAAACGAAGTTGCCTCTGTGGTAGTAGTTACATTGGAGAAACCAAACGACATGTCTTGGACCGCATTCATGAACACAAAGCAGACCTGAAACACGGTAGGACCAACACCTCGGCCGTAGCAGATCCCTGTTATAATTCAGTAGGCTCACATGACATTGACTTCTCCGAGACAGAGGTTCTTTGCAAGCCATCTGGCTACCATGAGAGATTCGTTCATGAGGCTATCCACATATACAAACACAGAGACAATTTCAACCGAGAAGATGGATTCTGGCTTAGCAATCATTGGAAGGATTTGATCAACCATTTCGGGTCTTAATTGATTGGATCACGCTTAAGGTGGCTTTCAGACCACATCCATTATTTTCGTCTCCCGCCTCCTCTTTTCCGAACATAGATGGACTCGTCCATCTGAACAAACTGTCAAATCGCTCTCCGTGGTGCTAACGTTAAAAAACCGCAACTTTTTTCAAATGTTCTTGCTGTGGTTTTCACACCTGATGATGATTGCTTGTGTTGCAGTCGAAACGTCGTGAGAATTGTATTGTTTTATATTTTTATTCTTTTATTGTTTCCCTTCTACGTGACTTTACCGAAAGAACCAAGAATATGAATCCCTGCAGTCACGAAAGCTTTAAATCAAAATTTGGACCTCTGGCTGTAGTCGCGGTATGCTGGAGCACTGCTGTGGTGCTGCATCTCTCTCCACAGTGCGGAGCCGGAGCAGCCCCCATCATCATCATCAACATCCTCACCGCTCGCCCAGAACTCGGGAGATAGGGCGGAGGATATGGAGGAGGTGGTGAAGAAGGAGGTGGTGGCGACGGAGGTGGAGAAGAAGACAGGGGATGAGGAGAAGATGGAGACAGATAAGGAAGAGTCTGAGGACGAGAAGGATGACGAGGAGGACGACGAAGATGATGACGAGAAGGAGAAGCATAACGACAAGGAGGATGACAAGGAGGACGAGGAGGACAAAGACAAGAAGGATGACGACAAGGAGGAGGACAAGGACAATGACAAGGAGGATGACAAGGAGGATGACAAGGAGGATGACAAGGAGGAGGACGATGACAAGGAGAAGGATGACGACAAGGAGGATGACGACAAGGAGGAGCACAAGAAGAAGAATAACGACAAGGAGGAGGAGGGGGAGGACAAGGCACAGAAGGAGGACAACAAGGAGGACGAGGAGAAGATGGAGGAGGTGCAGCAGGAGCAGGAGAAGAGGAAGCGAGGGGGCCTGGTGTGTGTGGGCAGGGCGCTCCGCTCATTCCGCTCGTTTCTCCGCCGCATGCTGCTGTGTGGTGGCCGTACCCACCACACAGTAAGGGGTGGTGGTAGTGGTGGAGTCGGTGCCAACCACCACCACAAGCAGCACCATGCACCCACCACCCACCCCCGCATGATACCACACACATCCTACACACACAGATACACACCACACTCACTCACCACACTGACAACACTCACCACCATGGAACAGGCTGTGGCAGAAGACTGAAGAGCAGACACCAGAAATGGACTGGACACTGCACTCACCACACGCACCACACACACACACACTACACTCACCACACTCCCCACACACACACCACACGCACACACACTACACTCACCACACTCCCCACACACACAACACGCACACACACTACACTCACCACACTCCCCACACACACTACACTCGCAGACTACACTCACCACACTGACCACACGCAGCACACACACACACACTACATGCACGAACACCACACTCACACCACACGTACACACACTCACCACACTCACACCACACATACACACACTACATTCACCACATGCACACCACACGGGACTAGCCTAGTAGCGCATCCAGGCACCGTTACCCCAGGCTCCCACCCATGCGAGTTTTCATCCAATGGCAGTCCTCAAGTGGATGACCTCGCCAGCGGTTTCCAGGACATGGAGGGGTGGGGGGAGGGGGGCAGCCGCCCCCCAGGGAGTGGAGACGAAGGGGGAGGCCTGGTGCAGACAATGGCCAGAGCCTGCCTGACCATGTGATGTGTTAAGAGTTAGGATCTATAAAAAGTTATAATGTATATATATCATTGTTGTATGTCGTTGTTTGTATCTCGCTTTATAAACCCTCGAGGACTCAATATAATGTTGCAATGTTTCGCGAGTAGAGCCTGGCTCGTGGGGATTCACGATGGTCGTGTGGATGGGGTTCCCAATAGCCGTTTCGGTGGGGTTTATAATGGCCGTGTTGGTGGGGTTCACGATGGCCGTGTGGGTGGGGTTCATAATGGCTGTGTCGGTGGGGTTCATAATGGAGAGTGGGTTGGTGGGAGGATGGATGGTAAAGTGTGTGGGTTGGTGTGTGGGTGGGTGTGTTATTAAGTTAGTGAGTAGCTAAGTGAGTGGGCAGGTATCATGATGAATGAATGGGCAAGGGAGTGAATGGGTTGGTGGGAAAGTGAGTTGGTGGATGAGTGAGTGTGGGTGAATGAGCGGCTGTGACGCGAGTCAGACAGGGCAGAGTGGTGGCATTAACATCGTGACTAACACCACCACCATAATCACCATCATCACCATTGACTTACCAGACAGAGACCCACAGACTCATCACACAGAGACCCATAGACACCTCACAGAGATACATAGACTCGACACACAGATACACGTAGATTCACACATAGAGACCCACAGACTCACCACAAAGGCCCATAGACTCACCAGAACGAGACTCATAGACTCATGACACAGAGACCCATAGACGCAACACACAGAGATCCATACTCATCAGATACCCATAAATAGAGACCCATAGACTCACCACACAGGGACAGAGACACGTAAACTTATACATAGAGGCCCATAGGCTCATTACACAGAGACCCATAGACTCCTCAAAAAGAGATCCATATATTCACGACAAAGGACCCATAAACTCACCATACAGTGAGCCATAGATGCACCACATAGAGTCCCATACACTCAGAGACCCGTAAATAGAAACACATAGACTCACCAAACAGAGATGCCTAGACTTTCCACACAGAGACCCATAAACTCATCCATAGAGACCCACTGACTCACCACGCAGAGACCCATACGCTCATCACTGACCCATAAACAGGTCCCTGCAGGGTGGGCTGGTAGGACAAGTCTCTGCGCTGTATATTGCTGATTTTACACCCAACAGCACGAGATTTCACTTCGTTAAAGTATTGAAAGGGGACGGACGGACGGACACATTAATCTATTGCAGGCTGGTACACTCAGTTTACAACTTCGTTCCTACCAGTAATAGAGTCCGATAGACTCACCACACAGAGACCCACAGACACACCACACAGAGACACCGAGACCCATAGACTCACACACAGAGACCCATAGACTCACCACGTAAATACACATAGCCTCCTCACACAGAGATGCGTCGACTCACCACACATACCTTTAGACGCAACAAACAGATACTCATATACTCACACATAGAGACCCACAAACTAACACATAGAGACTCACAGACTCACCACACAGAGACTGATAGTCACCACACAGAGACCCATAGACTCAGACATAGAATCCCACTGACTCACCACGCAGAGACCCATACACTCATCAGATATTCTAGATTTAAAGCTTGCGTGACTGCTAGGATCCATACTCTTTGGTTCTATTGGGTAAAGTCACGTAGGTGAAAATAAAATACCAAAAAATCACGTTTCGGCCACAACACAAGCGGCCTTCATCAGGTGAAGGGACGAGACTGTCTGGAGGACAGCGCTGGAGTAAGAAAAGCCACGCTTAGATCACGACCTTTAAGCTGTGAGAAGAAAACAAAGCGCCTTGACAAAGGAATTAGCATATAATTTAGCATTGAAATGGCTCATTGAAATAGCTAAGTTAAAGTATACACATCCGCAGAGGCACCCCTTGACAAAGGAATTAGCATAGAATTTAGCATTGAAATAGCTGAGTGATTAGCTTGTAACTGGTCACAGAAATAGCTATGTTAAAGTCAGAGCATATACATTCACCGAGGCACCTAGTACAAATCAAACAGGAAAATTTAGCGAAACACAACCACGGTCATACCGCGGACCTTTAAACTGTGTGCGATCAAACACGGTGTCCTGACAAAGAAATTAGCATAAAAATTATCATTTGATTGGCCGATTTTAGAAAAGAGGTGGTGTACGTGCCGGTGGACTTGCAGTTTGGCGCGGGGGGGGGGGGGGAGTTTACCTATTGATGGTGTGAAAAGGGAATTTATAAGAGCTGCAAAAGTTTGGGGTACCACTACTTGAAAAAATATATACTGTACCATTGAAATTAGTTTAATGTTTAGTTCGATTTAAAACATCTTTTCAATGGTTGCTTAATTTGAAACCATCTTCTCGGTTGAAATTGTGTCTGTGTTTGTAGATCTGAATTGCCTCATGAACAAATCTCTCTAGGTATGAGCGTGGTTGTGTTTCGCTAAATTCTCCTGTTTGATTTGTACTAGGTACCTCGGTGAATGTATATGCTGTGACTTTAACATAGCTATTTCTGTGACCAGTTACAAGCTAATCACTCAGCTATTTCAATGCTAAATTCTATGCTAATTCCTTTGTCAAGGGGTGCCTCTGCGGAAGTGTATACTTTAACTTAGCTATTTCAATGAGCCATTTCAATGCTAAATTATATGCTAATTCCTTTGTCAAGGCGCTTTGTTTTCTTCTCACACAGCTTAAAGGTCGTGATCTAAGCGTGGCTTTTTCTCACTCCAGCGCTGCCCTCCAGACAGTCTCGTCCCTTCATCTGATGAAGGCCGCTTGTGTTGTGGCCAAAACGTCGTGATTTTTTGTTATTTTATTTTCACCTACGTGACTTTACCCAATAGAACCAAAGAGTATACTCATCAGATACCCATGAATGCAGACCCATATACTCACACATAGGGACCCACAGACTCACCAAACAGAGACCCAGACTCACAAAGAGACCCATAGTCTCACCACACAGAGACTCACCACAAAGAGATCCATAGACTCAACACCTAAAGACCCATAGACGCACCACACAGAGACGTATACACTGCCCAGAGAACCGAGACCCAGAGACTCACACAGAGACCTGCAGACTCACTACACAGAGATCCAGACTCACCAGACAGAGACTCATAGACTCACCACGCAGAGACCCATAGGCTAACGACAAAGAGACCGATAGACTTATCACACAAAAATCCAGAGACTCATCAGAGACCCATAAATAGAGACCCAGAGAAAACCACAGACTCACCACACAGGGATACAGAGACCCATAGACACACCACACAGAGACCAACATACACACCACACATGAACACAGAGACCCACAGAATCACCACAAAAAGACCCATAGTCTTTGGTTCTATTCAGTAAAGTCACGTAGGTAAAAAATAAAACAACAAAAATCACGACGTTTCGGCCACAACCCAAGTGGCCTTCTTCAGGTGAAGGAACAGAACTGTCGGGACGACAGCACTTCAATGACCGCTGCTAAGATTCGCAGCGTCTTTTAAGCTCGGTGGGAGGAGCACGGCGCCTTGACAAAGGAGTTTACATATAAAAAATAGCTGTGTTAAAGTGTTGAAGCAGAAGGGTGTTAAAGTCAGAAAATTAGCTGGGGGATTAGCATGTTTTTGTGTAGAGGGTGCGGAGGATGGGTCACTGTGTGTGTGCAATAGAAACGGAAAAAAATAAAGATCGGCAAGAATGTGCTGTCAGGGGAGAGTAGGAAAAAGGGGTTTAATAGAAAGTTCGGAAGGAATATGCTTGGTATACCATTACTTGAAGTTGCTGTTAGAAATTAGTTGACGTTTGGTATGATTTAAAACGTCTTTCCAATGGTTGCTTAATTTGAAACCATCCTCTCGGTTGAAGTTATGTCTGTGTTTGTATATCTGAATGGCTTCGTGGACAAATCTCTGGTGATAACGTGTAGGTTTACAGAGAACCTTGGTTATGTGTGTGGGTGTGTGAGTGGGTGGGTGGTTGTGTGGGTGAGACCCATGCAAACACACAGAGCCAGATTCACCATACAGAGACCCATAGACTTACCACACAAAAACCCATCGACTCACCACACAGAGAGACCCACATACTCAGCATACAGAGATCCGTAGACTCACAACATAAGAGACCCAGAGACTCACAACACCGAGACCCACAGAATGACCACACAGAGACCCATAGACTCAACACACAGAGACCCATAGACTCAACACACTCAACACACAGATACACGCAGAATCACCACACAGAGACCCATAGACTCACGGCACGGAAAACCATAGAATCAACACATAGACACCCATCGACTATCCACACAGATTCCCAGACTCATCACAAAGAGACCCATAGACACCTCACACAGAGATACATAGACTCAACACACAGAGACCCATAGACTCAACACACAGATACACGTAGATTCACACATAGATAGCCACAGACTCACCACAAGAGACCCATAGACCCACACACAGAGACCCGTGTACGCATCTTCAGGCCGCATGGCTCACAGGGCTATACCTAATAAATGAAACTTGAGTCGATCTAGAGGAGGCCCAGCCAGCGAACCAGCTCAGATTTTCCCGCCACCTCCACTCGCCCAGGGCGGAAGCGGAAGTAGCCGCGGGGGGTGGTGGTGGGGGGAGCCAGGGGGGGGCACAGGGCGCGCGAAAAGGGGCGTGGTCACGAGCGTTAGCGACACTTGGGGCGTGGCTAGAAGGGGCGTGGCTACGACGCGCGATCTTCAACGTCACCGGTGACATCACAGCACCACGTGATTACTCAGAGTTCGAGACAGGCGTAGGAGGCAGCTGCTTCTGTTTCTTCGTCATCGTCGAGAAGCTTATGCTGAAGCAATCCGAGAAAAACTTTTGAAGAGGTGTGTGGGTCCGTGTTGTGAGTTCGTGGGGAGGGTGTGGGTCCGTGTTGTGAGTTCGTGGGGAGGGTGTGGGTCCGTGTTGTGAGTTCGTGGGGAGGGTGTGGGTCCGTGTTGTGGGTTCATGGTGAGTGTGCGTGTCCGTGTTGTGGGTTCATGGTGAGTGTGTGGGTCCGTGTTGTGAGTTCGTGGTGAGTGTGTGGGTCCGTGTTGTGAGTTCGTGGGGAGGGTGTGGGTCCGTGTTGTGGGTTCATGGTGAGTGTGTGGGTCTGTGTTGTGGGTTCATGGTGAGTGTGTGGGTCCGTGTTGTGAGTTCGTGGTGAGTGTGTGGGTCCGTGTTGTGAGTTCGTGGGGAGGGTGTGGGTTCGTGTTGTGGGTTCATGGTGCGGGTATGGGTCTGTGTTGTGGGTTCTTGGTGAGTGTGGGTCCTTCTTGTGGGTTCTTGGTGAGTGTGTGGGTCCTTGTTGTGGGTTCGTGATGAGTGTGAGGGTCCATGTTGTGGGTTTGTGGGGATGGTATGGGTGCATGTTGTGGGTCCGGGGTGAAGGTGTGGGTCCATGTTGTGGGTTCGTGGTGAGTGTGTGGGACCGTTTTATGGCTTCTTGATGATCAAATGGATCCGTGTTGTGGGTTTTTGGGGAGAATGTGGGTCCGTGTTATGGGCATGGTGAGTGTTTGGGTCCATGTTGTGGCTCCAGGGTGAGGATGTGGGTTCGTGCTTGGGATGTGAGTCCGGGTTGATCATGCGAGTAAGTGTTGATGATGTGAGTCCCTCTTGATTCTGTGAGTCTGTGTAGTGATGCGAATCCACGTCCTTGTGACATGGGTAATGGTGTCGTCGCGCTCTCCCTGACTGCTCCACGTGCCACTCTCCTACACTCCCGTCCACCCCACCCATCGCTTATCCACGCAGAGACCCTTGGGAGCAGCGCGCGAGAGTCGCCATGAGCTCTACGCAGCAAAACGACGACGGCGCTCTCACAATCAACACCATGAAGGTACGCATAGAGCCCTCCACTCGTGTGGTGAAGTATGCGATCTCCACTCTGCGTGTGCCTACCTGTCTACATTGGTGTGCATTTGTACGCACGCCAGAGTGTTTGTATCTCCGTATGGAGCGGTATTGTAGTGGTTAGTGCGCTGTGCTATGATCCCGGCAGAGAAACGAGTTTGATTCGCGCTCACGGCCAATACCATTGACGATTATTTGAACCGGTCCTGGGCCTCCCTTAGATAAACTCAGCCTCAAATGAGTACCTGGTGTGGTGTATAAACATCACCACTGGGGAGACAAAGGCGGCTGGGCGTAGTGCTGGCCAACCACCCCCTCGTGTGCCGTGCCGACCTTCATAGGTGCACGCTAACAGCACTTGCCCCAAGTCTGTAAAGGCTATACGGGGGAATTTTTTTCGTATGTGTGGTCAAAGGATGGCTCCCTATTGGTCAACCATGTTACATATGATCTGGTAATTGTTGCTCACTCAGAGGAGTTAGAGGCACTGCTGCTGAACCTGGATCGTGCCATTCAATGGTGGGGCCTTTCCATCAGCCCCACTAAAACTTAGCACCTGCCTGGGTATTTTCTAACATAAGACACTCCACCCCCACAACTCCCAATTGATGATGGGGCAATTGTGGAGAGATTGGAGAGTTTTCCATACCTGGGCAGTGTGCTCATGACCGGCTCCAGTTTGACAGCAGGGGTCTCACTCCGAATCAGCCGAGCAGCATTATCTTTTCATCAGCTGGATAAGGCTGTGTGGAAGCTAACTGGTCTGTCGCTCCACACAAAGCTTTGGGTCTTCTCGGCCACAGTCATGCCCTCCCTTATCTATGCTTGCAAAACGTGGACCCCTTTAATGGAACATCAACAGTTAGATACATTTAGGCTGGGCAGCCGACAACCCATCCTGGATTAAAAAAGGGTTTAACCAGGCTGGATTGTGCGATGAGCTCGCAAATACTTGAAAAGTTTGGACAAAGTCCCATCGGTGAGCTCCACCGGCAATCAAGGCTGTGTAGGCTGGGTCATGTAGACTGCATGCCCAGTCATCGCATGCCTAAACAGCTTTTTCTCAGCCAGATAGAGGGGCCTAAATGGGCGCAGCATGGGCTGTAGAAGATATCGAGTGATGTGTTTATGTATGTGTATGTAGGTGTCTATGTATGTGTAAAGAGTAGACCAGTCCGGGATCGGGTGAGCACAATGTTCCTTATTTCGCATTCTCTTAACTCCTTTCCCGCTGAGAAAGCGGCCCGATCCCCGCCTCTTCCGCTGACGTCACCCCTTTCCGGGGAGTCTCCTCCCTCTATTGCCCCAACTGCTCTCCCCTTTGTCCTTCATGACGTCACCCTCTCGTGGGGACTTCCTCTAATTCAAGTATATCTTCATATGTGTGTCTATGTGCGTGTGTATGTAGACGACCCCAGCTGGAGAGGCAGTGAGCCATGCCATGTCTGGCACCACGTGGAGCGCGCTGTCCTCGGCTGGCACGGCCTCCATCCGCAGCCAATCGCCCCAAGGTGAGAACAGCGGCAATCATAAAACTGGCTTCTGTGTTTGTTGTTGTGTTTAGTTTGTTGCCCCCCCGCCCCTTCCCCGCACCTTTTGATTAGTGCAGTTCACTATGTACGCTGAAAAATAAGTTCAACATACATACACTACACTGCTACACACTACACTAATATACACTACACCACTATGGTAAGTTGATAACTTATCTCATTATAATTGCTTCATGTTTAGTTTGTTTGTCCTTCGTCCACGCCTTCGATTAGCGTGGTTGGCTATGTACAGTGAGGGAAAAAAGTATTTGATCCCCTGCTGATTTTGTACGTTTGCCCACTGACAAAGAAATGATCAGTCTATAATTTTAATGGTAGGTTTATTTGAACAGTGAGAGACAGAATAACAACAACAAAATCCAGAAAAACGCATGTCAAAAATGTTATGAATTGATTTGCATTATAATGCGGTAAATAAGTATTTGACCCCTTTGCAAAACAAGAATTAGTACTTGGTGGCAAAACCCTTGTTGGCAATCACAGAGGTCAGACGTTTCTTGTAGTTGGCCACTAGGTTTGCACACATCTCAGGAGGGATTTTGTCCCACTCCTCTTTCCAGATCTTCTCCAAGTCATTAAGGTTTCGAGGCTGACGTTTGGGAACTCGAACCTTCAGCTCCCTCCACAGATTTGCTATGGGAATAAGGTCTGGAGACTGGCTAGGCCACTTCAGGACCTTAATGTGCTTCTTCTTGAGCCACTCCTTTGTTGCCTTGGCCGTGTGTTTTGGGTCATTGTCATGCTGGAATACCGATCCACGACCCATTTTCAATGCCCTGGCTGAGGGAAGGAGGTTCTCACCCAAGATTTGACGGTACATGGCCCCGTCCATCGTCCCTTTGATGCGGTGAAGTTATCCTGTCCCCTTAGCAGAAAAACACCCCCAAAGCATAATGTTTCCCCCTCCATGTTTGACGGTGGGGATGATGTTCTTGGGGTCATAGGCAGCATTCCTCCTCCTCCAAACACGGCGAGTTGAGTTGATGCCAAAGAGCTCCATTTTGGTCTCATCTGACCACAACACTTTCACCCAGTTGTCCTCTGAATCATTCAGATGTTCATTGGCAAACTTCAGACGGGCATGTATATGTGCTTTCTTGAGCAGGGGGGACCTTGCGGGCGCTGCAAGATTTCAGTCCTTCACGGCGTAGTGTGTTACCAATTGTTTTCTTGGTGACTATGGTCCCAGCTGCCTTGAGATCATTGACAAGATCCTCCCGTTGTGAGGAGCGCCGCAGGTGCCCCTGAACAACCCCTAGTATTATAAATTACTATACACTACATCGCTATATTACATTGAGATCGTATTTCTTAGGAACTGCTTTTTGGCGTGTTGAAGTTTGTGCCCTTCCTCCCGCACCTCTGATTTGCACAGTTGGCTTTGTATAGCACAAAAGTGTTCAACATAGTACAAACACACACTCACAGACACCCAGACAAATAGAGACCCACAGGGATTCACAGAGACACTGATAGATTAGCACGGTTGGCTATGTACAGTGCCAAAGAAGTTCAACTTATACACAACCACAGAGAATCTCAGACACCCAGAGACCCATAGAAACCCACAGAGACACTAGCAGCTTAGCACGGTTGGCTACTGATGGTGCCAAAGAAGTTCAACACACACATACATACACGTATGGGTAAGGACCAAAGTTACAGATCACGGCTTGCAGACGCGGTTGCTGTGTCCAAGCAATCAATATTCTGCTTCGTGATACAACGATAACAGTCCGAGGCCACAAACAAGACAACAACACCACACAGCAGTCCCCCCAATTCAATTGCACATGAACCTTGAACGAGCAGAACGGACCAGAGTTTTAGTTGTTCCGTTTGACACGGGGTAGTTGGGCTGTCGCGACCAATATTATTCATGAGGTTTTTGTTGTGTTAGATCGTGTAAGTATCACTCTTGGGTCGTTAAACCCACCACCACCACGCATCACACAACCAGCTCGTGAAAGTTTGTTACGTAAACACAAACGTGGTCAATTAGTTACTTGTTCAGCACTAACTGGTGTGTTGGAGACTGAATAACTGGTGTGTTAATAGATATCCGTTGTAATCTAAATGAATACATTAACCATAAGTCAATTTGCCTGTTCGAATCGAGAGTCTTAAGTTCAACTGCTGCGCAATGGATGGTGGTGATTGCATCTACATCTGCAGAACATGAAGAATCACTGGCATCTACATCTACAGAACATGAAGAACCAGTGGCATCTGCATCTGCAGAACATCAATAACAAGTGCCATCTACATCTGCAGAATATGAATAACCAGTAACATCTACATCTACAGAACATGAAGAACCAGAGGCATCTACATCTGGAGAACATAAAGAACCAGTGGCATCTACATCTGCAGTAAATGAAGAACCAGTGGCATCTGCATCTGCAGTGCATGAAGAACCACTTGAACACGTAGACTTTCGAGACCAATATCATCCATTATAGAGGTTTTTGGGTTAGATCGCGTAAATATATAAATTTGTCGTTAAAACCCACCACCACCCAAAAACAGCCAACTAGTAAGGGTTGCCACGTAAACAGAACATGGCAATTCGTCACTAGTACAGCACTAACTAGTTGTAATCACTGGCGAAACGTTGTACTCAGTTTGTAATTGTTTTGGCTCGGCTCTCCAAAACGCCGGTGTGCTGTACTAGTGACGAATTGGCATGTTCTGTTTACGTGACAACCCTAAGTAGTTGGCTGTGTCGGGTGGTGGAGGGTTTTAACGACACATTTATATATTTAAGCGATCTAACCCAAAAACTTATTATGCATGAAGAACCAGTTGCATCTACATCTGCAGAGCATGAAGAACCAGTTGCTTCTACATTTGCAGGAGATTATACAACTTGTAAAGCCATTCCCCATGTTTAGTGTACACACCATACAACATGTTTGGAATCGACAGGAGTAAAGTAGGACTTACAGACAAATCGACTTACGACCAGACCTCTGGAACCTAACTCCTTCATAAGTAGAGGAGTCCCTGTATCATGTTGTCTGTTTGTTGTTGTTTATTCATTCTCACGTCTGGCAGCAATCCTGAACCTATTCGGGCCTCATCTGAGCCGGCGCGAGCGTAAGGAGCTTGCCGCCATGCGGGAGGTTTGGTACTTCTCCCTGGATAGCGGCGACAGACCCGGGGGATTTTCCAATGGCGGTTACGACAACGATGAGGAACACTACGTGCCGGTGAGGCCTTCGCTCGTACACAAAGGGGATTACTACCGCTAATGCTGCTGCTGCATATATCTATCATCTATAGCTGGGGACATGATGATGATCATGACAAGAAGACCAGAAGACGCCTTTTGGCGTCTTCTGGTCCAACACCAATGGAGACTAGGCTCTAAGAAAAGCTGTCTCGGGTGTGGACCAATCAAATTCAAGGACAGTGCATATTATTATCAGAGTTGTCTTTTTTGTTTGCATTTTGACTGCTTGTGTTGTGGTTATTGCAAACATGATGCCTTGAATAAAGGTGTCAATTTTTGTGCCAGTAAAAAGGGTAAAACCTATTCCTATTACAGATCACGTTTGCAGATGCGGGGTTGCTGTACCCAGCACTGCTGCTGTTAATAGATTACGTGTAAGTGACTGATCCCATGCGTGACAGCTCTGTCCAAGCGAGCCCTGGATCAACGGGGTGGGGGGGATGTTTGTTGACGATGGAGCTGGTGCTGATGTCCACATGATCTCCATGTGACCTCCGCATGACCTTTGCGTGTGACCTCCCTCCGTGACCGCTGCAGGTCCAGCACGAGCACCTCAACTTCCGCTATCAGGTGCTAAATATGATCGGAGAGGGAGGTCAGGGCCTGGTGGTAAAGTGCCTCGACCACAAGACCAACAACCTGGTGGCCGTCAAGATACTGGCGTCGCCTTCCAAGTACGTGAGACTCCTATAGAACCATAGACATCCACAAAGACCTATAGAGATCCAGAGACTCATATTGAACCACAAACTCGCAGAGACCTACGGAGATCCAGAGATTCATATAGAACCATACAGAGCCAGAGACCTTTTGAGATCGAGAGACTCGTAGAGAACCATAGGGACCCACAGAAACCCACAGCAACCCACACTAAAACTAAATATATATTTTTTATTTTACCAGGTAAGGCCCCACTGAGCTTTGTAGTTCTTTTTCAGAAGCGACCTGGTGATCATCAAAAATGATAGCCCAACAAAGTGCCTGATATCACCATCATCATCATCACATGGAAATATATAGCAGTAGCAGCAGCAACCAAATTACTCTGAAGTTGATTCTAAATGTGGAGGGAAAAACTGGAGGACCCGGAGAAAAATCTACGTGACGACCACGGGGAGAGAGACATTTAGAATCGACGTCACGCATTTAGAGTGTTTGGCTGACACTATAAATGTCCACGTAATGATAAGCCACTTCGTTGCGCTATCATTTATGATGGCCAGATCGCTTCTGAAAAAGGGCTACACAGAGTAGTGGGCCTTACCTGGTAAAATAAAAAAGGTGTTGAATAGTTTATAATTTAAAATCTTTTTGCAGTTTATAGTTTATATAGCTGATACTTACAATAGTTTGTAATTTAAGCAGTTCATAGATTCTCCCAAATTGTCATGCCCAACCAACCAGCACCTAATTCTAGATTTAAAGCTTTCGTGACTGCAAGGATCCATACTCTTTGGTTCTATTCGGTAAAGTCACGTAGGTAAAAAAAATAAAACAACAAAAATCACGACGTTTCGGGCACAACACAAGTGGCCTTCATCAGGTGAAGGGATCAGGCTGTCTCGAGGACAGCGCTGGAGTGAAACACAGCCACGCTCAGACCGCGGACCTTTAAGCTGTGTGCGAGCAAACAAGGTGTCTTGACAAAGAAATTAGCATAACAAATAGCATTTGATTGGCCGATTTTAGAAAAGAGGTGGTGTACGTGCCGGTGGACTTCTTCTGCCGTGGCTGGTCACTGTTACAACGCTGTGGGTGATCACGATATAAGTTTCTCCGATACCAAGGTTCTTTGCAAACCCACGGGTTTTTATCAGAGATTTGTTCACGAGGCAATTCAGATCTACAAACGCAGACATAATTTCAACCGAGAAGATGGTTTCAAATTAAGCAACCATTGGAAAGATGTTCTAAATCGAACTGAACATTAAACTAATTTCAATGGTACAGTATATTTTTCAAGTAGTGCTACCCCAAACTTTCGATGCTCTTATAAATTCCCTTTTCACACCATCAATAGGTAAACTCCCCCCCGCCCCCGCGCCAAACGGCAAGTCAACCGGCACGTACACCACCTCTTTTCTAAAATTGGCCAATCAAATGCTATTTTTATGCTAATTTCTTTGTCAGGACACCTTGCTTGCTCGCACACAGCTTAAAGGTCCGCGGTCTGAGCGTGGCTGTGTTTCACAACCAACACCCGCCATGGCCCCCATCATTTACATTTAGTTTTCCCCCATGACCAATCAGATTTGAACGGATCTCCACCTTCAAATCCGATTGGGAGCCCTAACGTTAGCCTACCTCAGCCTACGCCAGTCTATGCTGCTCCCCCTGGAGTAGCTCCTGGCCAATCTATGGTGTAGTGTATAGTGTCGTGTAAAGTGGTGTAGCAAAGTGGTGTAGTGTATAGTGTATTGCATCGTGGTGGTGTATGGTTGTGTAATGTACAGTGTATAGTAGTTTGTACGTACATACGTTGAACTTCTTTGGCACCGTACGTAGCCAACCGTGCTAATTGGAGGTGCAGTAGAAAGAAAAACAAAATACACTTAAGCAGTTCTAAAAACATGAGTTTGTCAATCTAGATGATGATTTAAGAGTGCACAGCTCCCAGTGGCTTCCTAATGTCGGAAGGGAAAGAGCGTTCCAGATTGTCTTTGAAGCACCACATTTGAAAGCGCCGTGCAATGATGATGCGGTGACCCTATTTGTCCGACATTCAGCCAAAAGTGTAATGTATAGTGTAGTGTATAGGAGTATATAGTGTAGTGTATAGTGTAGTGTATAGTATAATTATGCATAGCAGTGTATCGTGTAGCGTATTGTGTAGTGTATCATATAGTATCATGTATAGTCATGTTAAATGTAGTGTATCGTGTAGTAGTGTAAAGTAGTGTATAGTGTAGTTTAGTTTAAAATACAGTGTAGGGTATAGCAGTGTAGAGTAGTGTATAGTGCAGTGTATTGTGCAGTGGATATACAGTAGCATCTGAAAGCACCGCGGCGAGCAGCCAAAAGCCGCTGCCACTGCTGCCACTGCGAGGATGACTGGCCAATGAGAGTCGAGCTCGTGCGTGCACGATTTTGGAACTTGTGTAAGCAATTGTGTCCTGTGGAATGTTGAATTATTGATTCATTTCCTAAACAGAATTGTATCTCTCGGGTAAGGGGAGGGAGGCAATCACTTCAGCGAGGAGCACCCACATTGACATTGCCGTCATTGTATTTTGTGGACTTCCACCCTATCCCTTTCTGCGTGCGATCGCCACTCACAAAGCCCCATGGACGAGAAGTCGCAAGGCAGGGAGCTGCAGATATCCCGGGAGCTCCAGAGCGAGCGCAGCGATGTGGACCATGGCGTGATCAGAGTCCTGTCCACTTTCCACTTCCGTGGGCACAGCTGCATTGTCCTGGAGCTGTTGAAGTACGCACACCACCACCACGTGTATGCGTGTCTCTCCACCCCTCCCTATGCCACCCACCCCCCCCTATAGCGTGGATACTTTTGAGATGCCCAGCGCCACCCACGTGTCGTGATATCGTGGAGCCCCCCCCCCCCGCATTACCCCCGTGTAACCTGTAACAGACTGTAGGGGCAAGTGCTGTTTGTAGCAAGTGGCAGCACTGCCTATGTAGGTCAGCATTGTGACACACGATGGGGGGGGGGGGTGGGTAGCCAGCACCAAGCGGGCTCAGCCGCCTTTGTCTCTCCCCCCAGTGGCGATGTTCACTACACATACCACGGCCTCTAATTTGAGTTGTCCGGGGGGGAGGCCTGAGACAGGTTGTTCAGATAATTCGCTATCACTGGCGGTGGTGGTGGTGAGCGGAAATTGAACTCGGGTCTCTGCCAGGTTCGTAACACAGTGCTAGCTGCTGCGTCCACCGCTCAACGGTGGACGCACACACGCACGCACACACGCCCACACACACGCACGCACACACGCACGCACACACACACGCACACACGCGCACACACACACGCACACACACACACCTGAAGACGCGGTGGCCACGCTCGAGCCTCTCATTGGAAGGGCCTGGGTTTGACTAAAAAAGTCGGGCTCCTTTCTGTGTGGAGTATTGTAGATTCTAACCGAAACTCAAAATATATTAAAAGTATATATTTTTTTTATTTACCAGGTAAGGCACACGATTCTATATACGTATAGCTAATTTTCAGAAGCGACCTGGGTATCACAAATGATAGCTCGGCCAAGTGGCTTATCATCGCGTGGGAATTGATAACAGCAGCCAAATACTCGAAAAACGCGACGTCGATTCGAAATGTGGTAAATGGACAAACCAGAAGACCCGGAGAAAAATCCACGTGATCACCACGGGGAGAGAGAGGCAAACTCAAAATATACAGCGGGCATCAGGGTCAGGATCAGAATCAAACCCATGATTCTCCTGTATACCAGACGAGGTAGTGAACATCTCCTAACCACCATGGGGTTGTCGTTATCAGAATCGACGCAGCGCCGCAGGGGGACGGCACTGACGCTGCGCCATTGTTGCTGTCGTTGCTGCCTTTCCCCTCACAGGGCGAACCTCCATCAGGTGATTAAGGAAGCGGGCGAACAGCACATCGACATGGACATGGTGAAGACGTACACCTGTGGCATTCTCCTCTTCCTGTCCCACGTCAAGTCGAGGGGCATCGTCCACGCGGACATCAAGCCGGTGAGTGGGTACACACGCGGCGCTAAGGCTCGCGCGCGTGACTTGGGTGCGGAGGTCGAGTCGCTAATCTGGAATGAGGAGGTGGTGGTAGCGGAGGCAGGGGTCACGATACACCTCTGGTGAAGATGATCTGGTACGAGCGAAACCGCAGTGTGGAGAGTCGATTCGCTGTTGAGGACTCGTAGCGCAGACAAATCCCAGTCACAGGGATCGCAGGGTCGATGCGTTATCTCCATCTGATTCCCCTGTTTAGTACAGGCAGTCCCCGAGATACGAACATTCGCATTCATGCACGTCCGCACAAACAAACGTCCACACTCAAGAACATCCGCAATGAATGAACGGACCGCCGTAAGACGTCTGACTCATGACTTGCGAACTGAACCACGGAACTATTTTGTTCGGCGGAGCGATCCTCCACAAAGACGTAAAAAGTCTCAGCATCCCACGTGACCCACAACAGTGAAACCATTCCGACTAAATGTAAGTGAAAATAACACCAATTTATTTTTGCACTGCTACTGGCCAGAGGGGTGGTTCAAGGATTTGACGTTCGTTTGATGCATCATGTACAACATTTCATCTAATTTATGACTTCATTAGTGGAACCGCAACACATCTTATGACTGACTGTACGTACAATTAATTGGCGAGTTCTGACGTACGAACAAATCCAACTTTACGAATGAATCTCGGGAACATAGCCCGTTTCGTAACTCAAGGACTGCCCGTGTGTATACATGTATTGTGGCGGTGCGTCATCGATCCACTGCTGGCTGAATGCTATCCCCATAACCTCTCGAGTGTCAATCCCCTTCCTGCTTCTCCTCTTCGTACAGGACAACGTTCTGGTCAAAGACACTGTGGCTGGCACCGTGAGGGTCACAGACTTTGGGTGCAGCTTCTTCATGTACAGTCAACGTGAGTGGCGTGTCTTTGTTTTTTGTCTCTGACTCTGTATGTGTATGTGGGTGTCTGTGCGTGAGTGTCTGTGTGTGGGTATATCAAAATGTGAGTATATGTGTGTACATGTGACTGTGTGCTGATGATGTTGATCAAAGCTCTTTGAGTTCCACAAAGACAAAGATCCCCTGTGTAGCCTAAGCAGACTGTAGAGGCAAGCGGTTTTAGCGAGTAGCAGCTATGAAGGCAGGCACTACACACGAGGGGTGGGTGTCCAGCACCCTTTGTCTTCCTAGTGTCGATGTTTACTACACACGCCGCAGCCAGGTACTCATTTGAGGCTCATTCGACCTATCGGAGGCCCAGGACCGGTTCAGATAATCGTCACCAGTGTTGATGTCGGCTATGAGCAGAAATCAAACTCGAGTCACCGGGTTTGTAATGCAGTGTGCAAACCGCTGCAGCCACCTCTCCCCACACACACAAAGACAGAGACACACAGACACACACACGGTGAAAAAACCAACCACCATTTGCTAAGTGGCGGTGACGTCACCACGGCGCCTGTGTCAGGCTATGTGCACCTTCAGGCAAAATTTAGTGTTGAACGCAACGCTGGCAGGAGGCCACAGGACAGACCCAGCAGGTGCCATGCGGTTAACTGACTAAGATGACTAACAGATGAGTGTATAGCTTTAACAGACTGTAGGACGAAGTGCTGTTAGCAAGTAGCACCTATGAAAGCTGACACGGCACACGATTTGATGAGTAGCCAACAACATGTCCGGCCAACTTCATCTCCCCAGTGGCGATGTTTACACACCACACCAGGTACTCATCTGAGGCTGAGTCGACCTCGGGGAGGCACAGGATCGGTTCAGACAACCGTAACTGGCCATGAAAGGGAATCCAACTCGAGTCTCCGCCAGAGTTCGTAGCGTAGCGTAGTGCTAACCGCTACACCACTGCTACCCAGCCACAGACATATGATGACACACACACACATGTACGTATATATATATTTATAGTTGTTGTTATTGCTGCAGCCCCACACGTGGGTAGGACACGGTTCTACGTGGCCCCGGAGCTGCTGCTGGGCTACCTTGTCACCTATGCCATCGACATGTGGGCCCTGGGTTGCACCGTGGCCGAGTTGGTTACCGGCAGGGAGCTCTTCTCGTCGCTGAGCAACGAGGACCACCTCCCTTGCTGCATCGAGGTAACGGAGCAGGCGGTCCGGGGCAGTCCGGGGCAGTCCGGTCCAGTCTGGTCCGGTCTGATCTCTCTCTGCTAAAAGCACTTGCGCCCCAAAAAAATCTGTTAACTAAACTGCTTTTTGTGTATAGTTCATTGTCCTTCCCCCACACCTCCAATTAGCATGGTTGGCTACGTATGGTCCGAAAGAAGTTCAATATACACACATACAAGGCGATACGGGGCTCTTTGACTTTGTGCATACGGGGTCAAAGATCGTTGTCTTTTCACACTGTGTACACAAGCTGAAGCCGATGATTCCCCGTATAGCCTATAACAGACTGTTGGGGCGAGTGCTTTTAGCGAGAACCTATAAGAGCAGGCACAGCACACGAGGAGATGGGTGGTCAACACCTCGCCCGGCCGCCTTTGTCTCCCCATTGACAATGTTTACACATCGCAGCAGGTACTCATTTGAGGCTGAGTCTACCTAGGGGAGGCCCAGGACCGGTTCAAAAATCGTCATTGGTGTTAGCTGTGAGCGGGAATGGAATCTGGGTCGCCAGGTTGATAGTGCAGCGCTCTAACCACGACACTCCACACACACGCACTCAGATAGTCTATGTGTGTGCCACAGTGCCGGCATTGCTAGGCAGTCCTGCTGCTAACTCGCTACTAAAAACAGGGCTCTGTCGAGGCTAAGACTGTTGTGACCCTTTTGTCTCTGTCTGTAAACCCCGTGTCTGCAGATTCTCGGGAAGCCCCCAAGATGCTTGGTGGATGGAGCCCCCTACAGAAATCAATACTTTGGTGAGTTGAAGGGTTGGCGGTGGGCGGGAGCGAGCTAAAACTATAACCTTTTTGTATTTACCAGGGATAAGGCCCCGACGGAGATACATAGCTTTTTTTTCAGAAGCGACCTGGCGATCACAAGTGATAGCAGCTCAGCGAAGTGGCTGATATCATAATCATCATGGCATGGTAATTTATAGTGGCAGCCAAATACTCTTAAATGCACAGTTCTACAGACTTATACAGAACCAGAAACCCATACTCATATAGAGCCATACTCAAAGAAAACTATAGAGACAGAGACGCATATAGAACCATAGACACCCACAGAAACCCACAGGCCCATACTATTTTAATTACATAGAATGGGTCACTACGGCGCGTAGCGCTGGTTACTGACAGGAAATATGGGCGTAACAGCCGACTTGCCAGCCGAGCATGGAATGCCACGGAGTGGGTCACTAGGGTGCGTGGCGCTGGCTGCTGGCAGAGAGGGGCATATGCGGACGTAGCACCCCGGCCGGCTGGCGGAGCACTTGATAGGCCTGGGTAAGGGATGTGGGGCAAAGTTGACCGAGGGGACACGTGGGGTATAGCCCAGAACCTTCTGGTGGGTTCCAGAAGGGGGCGTAGCCAAGGGCGGAGCCAGGCAGGGGACACATGGAAGGTGGCCCAGAACCTTCTGGTAGGTTCCAGAAGGGGGCGTAGCCGGGGGCGGAGCCAGGCCACGCCGGAGGACATAAAAGGGAAGTACTGAGGCTGGATAGGGGCTGTCTGTTGGTGGAATGGAACCCAACGTGCTAAGTCTTCGTCTCCGGCGTCGTGGTTCAAACAGCGTGCCGGCTGCTCTGACCTGTTTGTAGTTATCCCGTGTGTGAACAGTTTCTAAAAGTGTAGAATAAATGTATGTTGCCTCCTACTTATTAGTGTCTCAGAAGTGATTCACTACACTAACACTAAACTATTTTAATTTTGAACGGTTTGATGCCCCCCTGAGCTATGCAGCTCTTTTTTCAGAAGTGACATAGCTATCACCAAATGATAATAGCTTGACAGAAGTGGCTGATATCGTTACGTGGGCATTCATAGCAGCAGCCAAATACTCTTAAACGTATGATGTCGATTCTAAATGTGGAGGGGAATAAACCGGAGGACCTGGAGAAAAATCCACGCGATCACCAAGGGGAGAGAGAGAGATGCAAACTTAAAATATACAGCAAGCATCGTCAGGGTTGGGATTGAACCAACAACCTCCTCTATACTATGCGAGGTAGTCAACATCTGCTAGCCACCGTGGCGCCCGGATTCAGTTTCACGGGGTGGCACTGGTGCTGTTGTTGTTTGGGCCACTCAGTAACCCTCTGTGGTCATCAAGAACCATAGGTTTGGTGAGTGGGTGGGTAGGTCAGTAGGTATGGTCGATGGGTGAGTGGTTGAGTGGGTCCGTAGGTTGGAGAGTGCGTGGATATATGGGTGAATGGGTGTTTGAGTTAGTGGTTAGGTGGGTGAATGGGTGTGTTGGTAGGTGTTTGAGTGAGTGGGTGTGTCGGAAGGTGGATGGGTGCGTGAGTGGGTCTGTAGGCGGGTGAGTGAGTGAGTGCGTGGGTAGGTGGGTGAGTAGGTCGGTAGGTGGGTTTGGTGAGTGGGTGTGTGGCTAGATGATTGGGTGAGTCGGTAGGCGGGTGGGTGAATGAGTCGGTGGGTAAGTGGGTGAATAGGTGGTTGGGTCTGAACATGGGTGGGTGAGTGGGGGAGCGGGTGGCTGAGTGGGGAGTGGGTGGATGAGTAGGTGAGTGAGTGGATAGGTGGGTGAGTGGTTTGGTGTGTGAAGGGATGAGTAGCTCGGTGGGTGAGTAGGTACGTGGATGGGTGGGTAGATCGGTAAATAGGTCGGTGGATGGGTGGGTGAGTGGGTGGTGGAGTGGGTGGGGGAGTGGGTGGCAGAGGGGGTGGCATGATGGGTGGGGGAGTGGTGGGGGAGTGGGTGGGTAGGTTGGTGGGTGGGTAGTTCGGTAGCTGGGTGGGTTAGTGGGGAGGTGAGTGGTTTGCTGGGTACATGAGTGGGTTGGTAGGTAGGTGAGCGAATGGGTTGGTGGATAGGTGAGCGAGTGGATTCATAGGTAGGTGGGTGGGTAGACAGGTCAGTGGGCGACATGGTGGTTGGTGACTCTGTGTTTCTCTCTGTCTATCTCTTTCTCTGTGCCACCTGCAGACCGTCGGGGCAAACCGTACAGCCCAGAAAAGCGACGGATACCGAGAAGGTACCCCCTGGAACGCATACTCTGGGGACACAGCCAACAGCTGATAAACTTCATCAGCTGCTGCCTGCGGTAAGAACCAACAACAACCGCGATTCGCCACTAAGTGGCGGTGACGTCACCATGACGCTTGTGCCAGGCCATGTGCACCTTGAGGCCACGTGAAGCGTCGAACGCCCGCGGGCAGGAGGTCACGGGGCAGACCCAAGTGCCACGGATCGACTGACTAAGATGACTGAGATGACTGGCTGATGCACCACCTGTGCCTCCTACTGTGCCAAGCTGCTGTGCTTTAGCCACCCGGCGCTCCGCTCGTTGTTGTGAGCGTTGCTCCTCCGCCCTCCGTTGTTGTTGGAGGGCGACTGCCTCCAACTGCCCAGTAGCATCCTTCACGAGCCTCCTCCACAGAGGTCGATCTTGACACCGCTGGTACCAGTCATCGGCAAGTCCACTCAGCTCCACGTCCTCCTGTACCACATCACTCCATCTCTTCTCTAGCCCGTGCCGCCCCCGTTTAGCCCCCTCGATCCAGCCGAACAAAAACTGTTTCGGCATGCGGTGGCTGGGCATGCGGGCTACATGACCCAGCCAATGCAGCCTTGCCTGCCGGAGGAGCTCACCGATGAGACCTTGCCCAGATCTTTCAAGGATTTGTGAGCTCCTCACACAATCCAGCCTGGTTAAACCCACGATGGATCGTAGGCAGGCTAGCCTAAATGTTTCTAACTGGCGAAGATGTTCCATTAGGGGGGTCCACGTTTTGCAAGCGTAGAGAAGGGAGGGAATGACCGTGGCTGAGAAGACCTGAAGCTTAGTGCGGAGCGACAGACCAGGTAGCTTCCACACAGCGTTACGCAACCGATGAAAAGATATTGCTGCTCGACTGATTCGGAGTGAGACCTCTGCTGTTAAGCTGGAGCCGGTCATAAGCACACTGCCCAGGTATGGGAAACTCTCCACTCTCTCCACAACTGCCCCATCACCGATTGGGAGTTGTGGGGGTGGAGTGTCCGATGGAACAAAATACCCAGGCAGGTGCTTACTTTTGGTGGGGCTGATGGTAAGGCCCCATCTCTTAGTGACATGCTCCAGTCTCAGCAGCAGCGTCTCCAACTCCTCCTCTGAATGAGCAGCTATTACCAAATCAACCAAATCAATCAAATCAAATAAGAACCACACCCACCAACACCCTCCCACCCCACCATCCCCACCCACATCTACCCACCCCCTCTCATCCACCTAACCACCACTCCCTCCCACCCCCTCCACCCCCCAATAATTACCCCCCACCCACGCCTATAGAGACCCACAGAGACCAATACTTACAGAGACGCATACGGATCCAAAAAGACCCATAGAGACACACATAGAACAAACGTATAATGAACGTTACCACGCGTCTGTCCTTCCCCCTCCTTGATCCCTACCCCCTCCACCCCCATGCCCCTTCCCGCGATCCCTCCCTCCATCTCTCAACAGATGGGATCCCAAGATCCGCATGACGCCCGAACAGGCGCTGCGTCACAGCTGGCTGCAGACCGCGACCACGACCACCACAACTAGCGCCACCACCACCACCACCAACACCACCACCACCACCACCAGCACCACCACCACTAGGATCCCCAGCACCACCACCAACACTGCCGCCACCACCGCCATCACCGCCAGCAGCGCCAACGCCACCACCACCACCACCACCGCCACCAGCACCACCACCACTGCCAGCGCCACCACCGCCAGTGCCATCGCTGACAGCGCCACCACCGCCACCACCAAAAGGATCGCCAGCGCCACCACCACCACCAGCGCCACAACCACCAGTGCCACAATGATCAACACCGCTACCACCACCACCACCACCACCGCCACTCCTGGCTCTGGAGCTGTCGACCCACGGTAAGCCTCTCTCTCTGCTGTGTGGTATGGAGATGTTGACTATCTCGCCTGGCATGCAGGGGTCGTGGGTTCGATCCCAACTCTGACAATGCATGCTGCTGTATATTTGGAATCCGTGTCTCTTGCTCTCTCTTTCCATGGTGGTTGCGTCGAATTTTCTCCACATTTAGAATCGACATCACGCGTTTAGAGTATTTGGCTGTCACTATGAATATCCAGACGATGATGTTGATGATGATGATATAAGCCACTTCGTTGGGCTGCTATCACTTTTGATAGGCGGGTCGCTTCTGAAGAATATCTACATAGCTCAGTGGGGCATTACCTGGTGAAATTAAAAGCTGAGTTTTAGTACGGGTCTCTGTGGGTTGCTGTGAGTCTCTGTGAGTCCCTTAGTTCTGTATGATTCTCTGGATCTCTATAGGTCTCTATTAGTATGGGTCTCTGGGAGTCGTTATCGGTCTCTATGAGTATGGGTCTCTGTGGGTCTGTATGGGTCTCTGCAAGTATGGGTCTCTGTGGGTCTGTATGGGTCTTTGTGAGTATGGATCTCTGTGGGTCTGTATGGGTCTCTGTGGGTCTGTATGGGTCTCTGTGGGTCTGTATGGGTCTCTGTGGGTCTGGAGGGGTCTCTGCGAGTATGGGTCTCTGTGGGTCTGGAGGGGTCTCTGCGAGTATGGGTCTCTGTGGGTCTGTATGCGTATCTGTGAGTATGAGTCTCTGGGGGTCTGTATGGGGCTCTGTGGATCTGAATGAGTATCTGAGTATGGGTCTGTACAAGTCTCTGCGAGTCTACTGAAACGTGCTTTTCGAGGATTTGGCTGCCGCTATGAATTCCCACCGGACGATGATGATATCAGACATTTAACTGAGCTGATATCACCTGTGATAGGCAGGTAAATTATCTGAAAAAGAGCGACATAGCTAAGTGGGGCCTTACCTGGTGAAATACAAAAAGTTTATTTTCAGTATGGGTCTCTCTGGGTTGCTGTGGGTCTGTATTGTTCCATATGAGTCTCTGGATCTCTATAGGTCTCTGTGAGTATGAGTATCCGTGGGTATATATGGACTTCTGTGAGTACGGGTCTCTGTGGGTCTGTATGGATCTCTTTAAGTATGGGTTTCTATGGGGCTCAGAGTCTGTAGGAACATGCATTTAGAGGATTTGGCTGCTATGATGAATTTGCACGTGACAATGCTGATAATATCAGCCACTCGTTGAGCCGCTTTCACTTGTGATGGCCAGGTCGCTTCGCTGAAAGATAGCCACATAGCTCAGTGGGGCCTTACCTGGTAAAATAAACAAAAAATTGTTTAGTTTTAGAGTCAGTCAGTCAGTTAGTCCACCCACGGGCAATGGCGGGTGGTGGGGGTGCGAATGGGACCTCTGGCTAAAACAATACAATTCTCACGACGTTTCGACTGCAACACAAGCAATCATCATCAGGTGTGAAAACCACAGTAAGAAAATTTGAAAACAGTGGCGGTTTTTTAACGTTAGCACCACGGAGAGCGATTTGACAGTTTGTTCAGATGGACGAGTCCATCTATGTTCAGAGAAGAGGAGGGGGGAGACGAAAATAATGGATGCGGTCTGAAAGCCACCTTAAGCGTGATCAATCAATTAAGACCCGAAATGGTTTATCAAATCCTTCCAATGATTGCTAAGCCAGAATCCATCTTCTCGGTTGAAATTGTCTCTGTGTTTGTATATGTGGATAGCCTCATGAACGAATCTCTCATGGTAGCCAGATGGCTTGCAAAGAACCTGTCTTGGAGAAGTCAATGTCATGTGAGCCTACTGAATTCTAACAGGGATCTGCCACGGCCGAGGTGTTGGTCCTATCGTGTTTCAGGTCTGCTTTGTGTTCACGAATGCGGTCCGAGACATGTCGTTTGGTTTCTCCAATGTAACTACTACCACAGAGGCAACTTAGTTTGTAGATGCCAGGGTACTGTATGTCCTGAATCACATCTTTTTACGGACGGAACCAGATCACGGATTTTATGTAATGTGTTGAATCGGACCTGGATCTTGTGTTTATTCAAGATTTTGGAGATCTTTTTTGTGATCCCCGCAATGTAGGGTAAAGTGATGGTTTTGAAAGGCTCCTCAAGAGGGTCCTTCTTCATGGTTGGAGTGATAGCTTTTGCAGTCACACCTAAACACATACCAGTTAATGATATCATTGCCCAAGTAGACGTGGCTCTCAAGGGCCTGGGTCACATCGCTGCAGACATAGCAATATCTGAAATCGCTGCAACCCTCAAAAACGCTAAGATGCCAGCTAGCAACCTCAGTAAAGATGAGCGTTTTGAATTATATAAATAAAAAAAGAGGGATGACATTGTCATTCTCTCAGCCGACTAGGGCAATGCCACTGTCATCATGGATAAAATATAATATAACAACAAAATTCAAGAATTACTCAACGATGGCAGCTATACAAAATTACAAAGAGATCCTACCAACAGCCTCATCATAAAAACCAACAAAATCATTTCTGATTCAACCGCATTAATTGATCAAACCAAACAGTTCTCTTTGAAACCTTCTGCTGCCAGGCCACGAAGATTATACGGCTTACCAAAAATACATAAAGTAGATACACCCCTTCGTCCTATCGTCTCTACTATTAACTCCCCCACCTACAAACTGGCTCGATTTCTGTCTGAAATCCTGCGGCCTTTCACTGGAAAAACCACCTCTGCGGTATCAACAATCAAGGGTATTTCCCTGTCCCCAGACGACCTGCTTGTCAGTTTGGATGTAGTTTCCTTATTCACCAAAGTTCCTGTACCTGACACCATCGCAATCATTGAAGACTTGGTTCATCAAGGACTAAACACTGAGGTACCCCCCCTGGTGACACACTGCTTAACCAAGACATACTTCACTTGGAATGGAACTTTCTACAAGCAAACTGAGGGCACCCCAATGGGCTCCCCCCTATCTCCGGTTGTAGCCAACATTTTCATGGAGAAATTTGAGACTGACGCCAACTAGACTGCCACTCTGCACCCAACCTTATGGAAGAGGTATGTGGATGACACTTTTGTCATCTGGCCACATGCCGGCCTGCTCTAGAAAAAATATTCGAAAGATACCCATACGGATGCTTACCTGAAACCGGATTCCCACCACCATCCATCCCAGAAGAATTCCCTCATCAAGACTCTGCACCATAGAGCCCAATGCATATCCGACCAGGAACACATAGCCAGTGAACTCAAGCACGTACACCAAGCTCTTAAGGCTAATGGTTATTCCAACTACACAATCCGTAAAGCTATCACTCCAACCATGAAGAAGGACCCTCTTGAGGAGCCTTTCAAAACCATAACTTTACCCTACATTGCGGGGATCACAAAAAAGATCTCCAAAATCTTGAATAAACACAAGATCCAGGTCCGATTCAACACATTACATAAAATTCGTGATCTGGTTCCATCTGTAAAAAGATGTGATTCCGGACATACAATACCCTGGCGTCTACAAACTAAGTTGCCTCTGTGGTAGTAGTTACATTGGAGAAACCAAACGACATGTCTCGGACCGCATTCATGAACACAAAGCAGACCTGAAACACGGTAGGACCAACACCTCGGCCGTAGCAGATTCCTGTTATAATTCAGTAGGCTCACATGACATTGACTTCTCCAAGACAGAGGTTCTTTGCAAGCCATCTGGCTACCATGAGAGATTCGTTCATGAGGCTATCCACATATACAAACACAGATACAATTTCAACCGAGAAGATGGATTCTGGCTTAGCAATCATTGGAAGGATTTGATAAACCATTTCGGGTCTTAATTGATTGATCACGCTTAAGGTGGCTTTCAGATCACATCCATTATTTTCGTCTCCCCCCTCCTTTTTTCCGAACATAGATGGAGTCGTCCATCTGAACAAACTGTGAAATCGCTCTCCGTGGTGCTAACGTTAAAAAACCGCAACTTTTTTCAAATTTTCTTGCTGTGGTTTTCACACCAGATGATGATTGCTTGTGTTGCAGTCGAAACGTCGTGAGAATTGCATTGTTTTATATTTTTATTCTTTTATTGTTTCCCTTCTACGTGACTTTACCGAAAGAACCAAGAATATGAATCCCTGCAGTCACGAAAGCTTTAAATCAAAATTTGGACCTCTGGCTGTAGTCGCAGTATGCTGGAGCACTGCTGTGGTGCTGCATCTCTCTCCACAGAGCGGAGCCGGAGCAGCCCCCATCATCATCATCAACATCCTCACCGCTCGCCCAGAACTCGGGAGATAGGGCGGAGGATGTGGAGGAGGTGGTGAAGAAGGAGGTGGTGGCGACGGAGGTGGAGAAGAAGACAGGGGATGAGGAGAAGATGGAGACAGATAAGGAAGAGTCTGAGGACGAGAAGGATGATGAGGAGGACGACGAAGATGATGATGAGAAGGAGAAGCATAACGACAAGGAGGATGACAAGGAGGACGAGGAGGACAATGACAAGAAGGATGACGACAAGGAGGAGGACAAGGACAATGACAAGGACAATGACAAGGAGGATGACAAGGAGGATGACAAGGAGGATGACAAGGAGGAGGACGATGACAAGGAGAAGGATGACGACAAGGAGGATGACGACAAGGAGGAGCACAAGAAGAAGAGTAACGACAAGGAAGAGGAGGGGGAGGACACGGCACAGAAGGAAGACAACAAGGAGGACGAGGAGAAGATGGAGGAGGTGCAGCAGGAGCAGGAGAAGAGGAAGCGAGGGGGCCTGGTGTGTGTGGGCAGGGTGCTCCGCTCACTCCGCTCGCTTCTCCGCCGCATGCTGCTGTGTGGTGGCCGGCCCACCACACAGTAGGGGGTGGCGATGGTGGTGGAGTCGGTGCCAACCACCACCACCACAAGCAGCACCATGCACCCACCACCCACCCCCGCATGATACCACACACATACTACACACACAGATACACACCACACTCACTCACCACACTGACAACACTCACCACCATGGAACAGGCTGTGGCAGAAGACTGAAGAGCAGACACCAGAAATGGACTGGACACTGCACTCACCACACGCACCACACACACACCACACACACACTACACTCACCACACTCCCCACACACACACCACACGCACACACACTACACTCACCACTCTGACCACACGCAGCACACACACACACTACATGCACGAACAGCACACTCACCACACTCACACCACACGTACACACACTCACCACCATGAAACAGGCTGTGGCAGAAGACTGAAGAGCAGACACCAGAAATGGACTGGACACTGCTCTCACCACACGCACCACACACACACTACACTCACCACACTCCCCACACACACACCACACGCACACACACTACACTCACCACACTGACCACACGCAGCACACACACACACACTACATGCACGAACACCACACTCACCACACTCACACCACACGTACACACACTCACCACACTCACACCACACATACACTACATTCATCACATGCACACCACACGGGACTAGCCTAGTAGTGCATCCAGGCACCGTTACCCCAGGCTCCCACCCATGCGAGTTTTCATCCGATGGCAGTCCTCAAGGGGATGACCTCGCCAGCAATTTCCAGGACATGGAGGGGTGGGGGGAGGGGGGCAGTCGCCCCCCAGGGAGTGGAGACGAAGGGGGATGCCTGGTGCAGACAATGGCCAGAGCCTGCCTGGCCATGTGATGTGTTAAGAGTTAGGATCCATAAAAAGTTATAATGTATATATATATCATTGTTGTATGTCGTTGTTTGTATCTCGCTTTATAAACCCTCGAGGACTCAATATAATGTTGCAATGTTTCGCGAGTGCTGCCTGGCTCGTGGGGACTCACGATGGTCGTGTGGATGGGGTTCCCAATAGCCATTTCGGTGGGGTTTATAATGGCCGTGTTGGTGGGGTTCACTATTTCCATGTTGGTGGGGCTCACATTGGCCGTGTGGATTGGGTTCACAATGGCTGTGTGGATGGGGCTCACAATGGCCGTGTGGATGGGGCTCACAGTAGCCGTGTGGATGGGGTTCACAATGGCTGTGTGGGTGGAGATCACATTGGCTGTGTGGGTGGGGGCTCACATTGGCCGTGTGGGTGGAGCTCACAATGGCCGTGTGGGTGGGGTTTACAATGGCCATGTTGGTCGGGTTCACAATTGCCATGTGGATGGGGCTCACAGTGGCCACGTGGGTGCGGCTCACAATGGCTGTGTGTGTGGGGTTCACAATGGCTGTGTGGGTTAGGATCACAATGGCCGTATGGGTTGGGCTTACAATGGCCGTGTTGGTGGGGTTCACGATGGCCGTGTGGGTGGGGTTCATAATGGCTGTGTCGGTGGGGTTCATAATGGAGAGTGGGTTGGTGGGAGGATGGATGGTAAAGTGTGTGGGTTGGTGTGTGGGTGGGTGTGTTATTAAGTTAGTGAGTAGCTAAGTGAGTGGGCAGGTATTATGATGAATGAATGGGCAAGGGAGTGAATGGGTTGGTGGGAAAGTGAGTTGGTGGATGAGTGAGTGTGGGTGAATGAGCGGCTGTGACGCGAGTCAGACAGGGCAGAGTGGTGGCATTAACATCGTGACTAACACCACCACCATAATCACCATCATCACCATTGACTTACCAGACAGAGACCCACCGACTCACAACACAGAGCCCATAGACTCAACACAGAGATACACGTAGAATCACACATAGAGACCCACAGACTCACCACACAAAGACCCATAGACTCACCAGAATGAGACTCATAGACTCATGACACAGAGACCCATAGACGCAACACATAGAGATCCATAGACTCATCAGATACCCATAAATAGAGACCCATAGACTCACCACACAGGGACAGAGACATGTAAACTTATACATAGAGGCCCACTGACTCATCACACAGAGGCCCATAGGCTCATTACACAGAGACCCATAGACTCCTAAAAAAAGATCCATATATTCACGACAAAGGACCTATAAACTCACCATACAGTGAGTCATAGACGCACCACATAGAGTCCCATACACTCATCAGAGACCCGTAAATAGAAATACATAGACTCACCAAACAGAGATGCCTAGACTTTCCACACAAAGACCCATAAACTCATACATAGAGACCCACTGACTCACCACGCAGAGACCCATACACTCATTACTGACCCATAAATAGAGTCCCTTAGACTCACCACACAGAGACCAACAGACACACCACACAGAGACACCGAGACCCATAGACTCACACACAGACACCCATAGACTCACCACGTAAAGACACATAGCCTCCTCACACAGAGATGCGTCGACTCACATACCCTTAGACGCAACAAACAGATACTCATATACTCACATATAGAGACCCACAAACTAACACATAGAGACTCACAGACTCACCACACAGAGACTGATAGAGTCACCACACAGAGACACAGAGACACACCACATAGAGACCCATACATCCGTCAGGTACCCATAAATAGAGATCCATAGACTCACCACACAGAGACTAATAGACTCACCACATAGAAACCCATAGACTCCTCAAACAGAGATGCCTAGACTCTACACACAGAGACCCATAGACTCAGACATAGAGTCCCACTGACTCACCACGCAGAGACCCATACACTCATCAGATACCCATGAATGGAGACCCAAGTACTCACACATAGGGACCCACAGACTCACCAAACAGAGACCCAGACTCACAAAGAGACCCATAGTCTCATCACACAGAGACTCACCACAAAGAGATCCATAGACTCAACACCTAAAGACCCATAGACGCACCACACAGAGACGTATACACGGCCCAGAGAACCGAGACCCATAGACTCACACAGAGACCCGCAGACTCACCACACAGATATCCAGACTCACCAGACAGAGACTCATAGACTCACCACGCAGAGACTCATAGGCTCACTACAAAGAGACCGATAGACTTATCACACAAAAATCCATAGACTCATCAGAGACCCATAAATAGAGACCCAGAGAAAACCACAGACTCACCACACAGGGATACAGAGACCCATAGACACACCACACAGAGACCAACATACACACCACACATGGACACAGAGACCCACAGAATCACCACACAAAGACCCATAGTCTTTGGTTCTATTAAGTAAAATCATGTAGGTAAAAAATAAAACGGCAAAAATCACGACGTTTCGGCCACAACACAAGTGGCCTTCTTCAGGTGAAGGAACAGAACTGTCGGGACAACAGCACTTCAATGACCGCTGCTAAGATTCGCAGTGTCTTTTAAGCTCGTGGGAGGAGCAGGGCGCCTTGACAACGGAGTTTACATATCAAAAATAGCTGTGTTAAAGTGTTGAAGCAGCAGGGTGTTAAAGTCAGAAAATTAGCTGGGGGATTAGCATTTTTTGTGTAGAGGGTGCGGAGGATGGGTCACTGTGTGTGCAATAGAAACGGACAAAATTAAAGATCGGCAAGAATGTGCTGTCAGGGGAGAGTAGGAAAAAGGGGTTTAATGGAAAGTTCGGAAGGAATATGCTTGGTATACCATTATTTGAAATGCTGTTAGAAATTAGTTGACGTTTGCTATGATTTAAAACGTCTTTCCAATGGTTGCTTAATTTGAAACCATCCTCTCGGTTGAAGTTATGTCTGTGTTTGTATATCTGAATGGCTTCGTGGACAAATCTCTGGTGATAACCTGTAGGTTTACAGAGAACTTTGGTATCGGAGAAGACAATCTCATGATCACCCATAGCATTGTAACAATGATCAGCCACAGCAGATGAATTCGTTCTGCCGTGTTTCAGATCTGATTTGTGCTCGCGAATTCGGTCAGAGATATGTTGTTTCGTCTCCCCGATATAGCAATCACCGCAGGTACAACTCAATTTGTAAACTCCGGGGTACTGTAAGTCAGGGATGACATCCTTCACGGATGGGATCAGGTCACGGATTTTGTGTACTGTATTGAACCGGACCAGGATCTTTTGTTTGTTTAGAATTTTGTAGATCGTTTTAGTAACGCCTGCTATATAAGGTAGTTTGATGGTTTTGACCGGAGTATCAAGTGGTTGTTTCTGTATGGAGGGAGAAACAGCTTGGCGGATGGTACGGTCAGAGTATCCGTTTCTCTTGAGGGCCAGGTGCACATGTTTTAATTCACTGGTCAGGTGGTATTGGTCCGAAATGCAATGAGCCCTGTGGTATAACGTTTTGATGAGAGAATTCTTTTGAGCTGGGTGGTGGTGGGAATCAGGCTTCAAGTAGGAATCTGTGTGGGTGGGTTTCCTGTAGACAGAATGCCCCAATGAGCCATCAGGTCTCCTCTCAAACAGAACATTCAAGAATGGTAGCTTGCCATCTTTCTCCACTTCCATGGTGAATTTGATGGCGGGGTGTCTGGAATTGATGTGGTGTAGGAAAAGGTTCAAAGCTGGGAGGCCATGTGGCCAAATTACGAAAGTGTCATCCACATATCTCTTCCACGGGGAAGGTCTGAGGGTGGAAATCTGGATGGCGTCTGATTCAAATATCTCCATGAAAACATTGGCTATCACTGGTGATAAGGGAGAACCCATGGGGGTAACCTCATTTTGTTTGTAGAAGGTGCCATTCCAAGTAAAGTATGTATTGGTGAGGCAGTGTCTAACCAGCTCAGGTGTATCGGGGTCTAGTCAATGTTGTACCAAATTTTCAATTATTTCAATGGTATCAGGTACCGGGACCTTGGTGAACAGGGAGACCACATCGAAGCTGACAAGGATATCGTCAGGGGACAGTACAACGTCTTTGACCATAGAGACCAATTGGGCTGAGTTAAGTACTGCTGAGGAGGTCTTGCCAGTGAAAGGTAGCAAGGTATCTGACAGAAAACGTGCTAGCTTATCGGTAGGGGAGTTGATCGTGGATACG